GGAACAGTATCAAAAATAGCATACTTATGACTGAAGTTCCAGAAGAAAAGGAAGTAAAAATGGGTCAGAAGGAAATTTCTTTTTCATTTTTTTAAATTATACTTTAAGTTCTGGGGTACATGAGCAGAACGTGCAGGTTTGTTACATAGGTATACACATGCCATGGTGGTTTGCTGCACCCATCAGCCTGTCATCTACATTAGGTATTTCTCCTAATGCTATCCCTTCCCTAACCCTCCACCCCCTGACAGGTCCCGGTGTGTGTTGTTCCCCTCCCTGTGTCCATGTGTTCTCATTGTTCAACTCCCACTTATGAGTGAGAACATGTGGTGTTTGGTTTTCTGTTCTTGTGTTAGTTTGCTGAGAAGGATGGTTTCCAGCTTCATCCATGTCCCTGCAAAGGACATGAACTCATCCTTTTTATGACTGCATAATATTCCATAGTGTATATGTGCCACGTTTTCTTTATCCAAACTATCACTGATGGGCATTTGGGTTGGTTCCAAGTAATGCTCACAAAGTTCTCCCAAGTAGTAGAATACAAATGTATAGATTCAACAAGTTTAGTGAACCCTAAGGAAGGTAAGTCCAATGCTAGAAATAACATGTTCATCTTGTTAGAAATCAAAGTTAAAATTTGAAAGGATCCAGAAACTAGTGCAGTGATCCCTACAGGAGAATGGCAATAGAAATGGCTGCCAATGTCTCATCAGAAAGAATGCAGGCCAGAAGAGAGTAGAAACACAAATCTAGAAGGGCGAGAGAAGATGATCATCTCAACAAAAAATATTATGTTCATACTTTTTTTTACAATTAAGGGAGAATAAGGCATTTTTCTTTATTCTTCCTTAATTGTAAATGAGCAAAAAAAGGGAATTATTACCAGCAGACCTGCGGTATGTGAAATGCTATGGGAAGATTTTTAAGTTGAAGGGGAACAAGACCAGAGGGAATCTTAGATAAGGAATACAGAGTCCTAGAAATAATAAACGGGGGGTGTAAACATAAAGTGATTTTTTTCCTTAATCTTTTATAATACATACAGAGTCAGAAATAAAGAATAACATTGTCACTGTAGATTTATTTTGTATGCCAGTATGATGTATACAACATATACAACTACTTTGTATAAAAGAGAGAGATGGTGGTAAATTAAACTTCATTATTGCATATATTTTATGTATAGTGTTTAAATATTATCTCTGATATTGCATTCTCCAGAATAACCAATTAAAAATGAAAAGAATTATAGCAAAAAGAAAACTGACAAATTAAAGTGATACTGAAATAATTGAAAGTGTTTTGAAAAGCAAATATAGAAGCCTCCCAAAGATTTAGAAATTTAACATGCTGACAAATGTTAAGGAAGATATTACAATGAAATTTTAAAAAATATTTCAAATTTATTTACAATACAAATAAAACATCAGAATTTGTGGAATGTAGATAAAGCAGTGCTCAATGAAAAATATAGGTTTTAATGTTTATATTATAAATGAAACAAACTATATAAAGTCAATAACTTAAGATTCTTTAAGCATCTAGATTAAGATGAGCAAGGTAAACACAAAATAAGTGAAATGAAGAAATTTATACAGATTGGAGCAGAAATAAATGATACAGAACATAAGTAATGAAGAAAGAAGTAATCTAAATGTCCATCAAAAAATGAGTGGAAAAAGAAAATGTGATATATACATAGAATTAAATATCATTTAGCCTTATAAAAGAAGGAAATTGTACCAGTTACAATAGTATGAATGAAATTAAAGGATATTTTATTCTAAGTTAATATATTAATTACAGAAAGAGCTAATACTGTATGATTCCACTTATACGAGATTTCTAAAACAGTCAAATTCATAGAAGCATAAAATAGAATGGTATTTATTAGTAACTAAAGAGGGGGAATTGGAGAATTGAAATTCAATTGATATAAAGTTTCAGCTCTGCAAGATGAGTAAGTTCTAGAGATCTGGCATACAACATAGTGTCTGTAGTTAATATTTCAGTATTGTGCACTTTAAAATATCTTATGAGACGAGATATCATGGCATGTGTTCTTACAACAAATGCATATAAACACACACACACACACACACACAAAGGACAAAGGACATTTTAGGAGTGTATATATATATATATACACACACACACACACACATATACATATATATAAAATACCTTGATTGTGGTGATGGTACCACAGGTTTATACATATGTTGAAACTGAAATTAATGTATACACTAAATATGTTCAATTATTTATATTAATTATAGCAAAATAAAAAATACAAAATTCAAAAAATTAAGTTATTAGAACTTTCAAATATTAACATAAAAATATTTTTGAAACTCTTAGAAATGAATTGAGGAGAAAATACTTTGTCTCTTATGAGGCAGACATATTTTTTTTTTTGTGTTTTTTTTTTGAGATGGAGTCTCCCTCTATGGCCCAGGCTGGAGTGCAATAGTGTGATCTCGGCTCACTGCAAACTCCGCCTCCAGGGTTCATGCCATTCTGCAGCCTCAGCCTTCCAGGTAGCTGGGATTACAGGCGCCCACCACCACTCCCAGCTAATTTTTTGTATTTTTAGTAAAGACAGGATTTCACCATGTTAGCCAGAATGGTCTCGATCTCATGACCTCGTGATCCACCCGCCTTGGCCTCCCAAAGTGCTGGGATTACAGGCATGAGCCAGAGCGCCCAAACGAGGCAGACATAAGTCTTATACCAAAACTTGACGAGGAAATCACACACACACAAACGTACACACATACAAATAAGTTATGGATTGATATTTTTCATGAATATATGTGTAAACATATTTAACATTATATTAGTAAATAAAATCGTGCAATGTATACTCACTATGTAAGATTTTGAAAAATATCTCATTCAGAAAATTAGCAATTAAAGGGAAAATGTTAAACATATATCCAGCTTTCCTTACATAAACTGCATTTTAGTTAAATAATAATTAATGAGGGTTAGTTTTATATAAAATAAATATAGATAATTAAAATAGAAGGAATTATAGGCTTAGAAAAATCACCTCATTGCCAGGCAACAAATATCAATGGATGAAATTATCAGATGAAATATTCGTTAAATACACATGCACACACACAAACAGAACTTCTCAGTGGCGTCATCTGTCAGTCATCTTCTGAGATTCTGAGGCCATGAATGAAATTTAAGTTAATCAAAAGTGAGATACAAAAAGATTTTGCAACTGATATTTGCATACAGCACAGCATAGACGTATTCTTGCCAAAAATGTCTAACTTTAATCAATAATTTAGTGCTAATTTTATTTTTTACAAGAAAAACGGGACAAAAGACTAAGTTAAGAATCATTTTGAAATAGCAAATAGATCATTATGGAATATGGGATAGTACACAAGACAAAACCTAGGTTTTTCAAAAATCAATTTAATGATTAAATATATATATATATATATAAAAATTGAGGGGATTTTACATTCAAAGAGTCAATATTTATTTTTAGAAACATAATAGGTAAAATATGTTTGGATCCTAATTATATTAAAAGATACATTTTATACTATTGAGAAAATTTAAATGTAGCCTAGATATTAGATAAGAACAAATAATTATAAGTTTTTGATGTTTTTTAAGAATACGTTCAAACATTTTATATATTTGTGTTAAAATATAAATGGGTAACATCATGTATTTCTTTCTTTGTAATAAAACAATATATAAAATAATTAAAATAAGATTGGAGGTTGAAGTAGCAACTATTACAACATCTTGATAATTTCTACTGATGGTTGGCAGTTATATAGAGGTGAATTAATATACCCTTTACTTTTATGAAAGTGTAAAAGTACTCATCATTAACAAACATACCTACACACACATTTCTGAATTTTACAGACTCTAAGCCTACTACATTCAAGTTAATTTGATACTGATTTTCACATACTTTAAAAAGTTATCAACTTTAATTTTCTCAACTAACAAAAACTAGGCAAAATTTGTTATAAACATTTTTAAAATTCTGTATTGTATATTTTAATTTTTTTCTTATTAAACTGTGGAAACTTTTTTAATACAATTTTTTTTATTATTTTAGGACTGAAGTATAGATGCAATTAGAAAAAAAGAAACTCCTCTAAGTTTTGTTTTGGTTCTGACTCTTCCAGTATAAGCAAGAGGACACGGAATGTAGAAACTTTCAAAACTGATAGCTTTCGTGTGTTAACTGAAACTTCTAATGAGAATCAAATGAGATAATGTAATCAAAACCCGTTCCTAGACCATTAATTTAATCACACAAGGGAAATTAATTACAAATTGAAAAGAGAGACGAATAGAGGGTTTAAAACTCACAATTGAATGTGTGTTAATGCATATAGGTGTCTTAACAATCCACTAATTGGATGTCAAAGTCTAACAAAGACCCAGAAAAAGGCCAGATAATGCATTGATCCAGAACTAAATTGTATAAAGTCCTTTACTGGCTTCCTGTTGTTTGGTCATTGTGCCTGAACATTTTTAAAGCACGTTGCAGCTTTACAGAACCATGAGATCCATTTTATTTATTTATTTATTTATTTATTTAGTTAGTTAGTTAGTTAGTTAGTTAGTTAGTTTGAGACGGAGTCTCGCTTTGTCTCCCAGGCTGGAGTGCAGTGGTGTGATCTCAGTTCACTGCAAACTCCGCCTCCTGGGTTCACGCCATTCTGTGACCTCAGCCTCCTGAGTAGCTGGGACTACAGGTGCCCGCCACCACGCCCGGCTAATTTTTTTGTAGTTTTAGTAGAGACTGGGTTTCATCATGTTAACCAGGGTGGTCTGGATTTCCTGACCTCGTGATCCACCCGCCCCGGCCTCCCAAAGTGCTGGGATTACAGGCTTGAGCCACTGCGCCCAGCCGAGATCCATTTCAGTAAAAATAACACTAGCTACTATAACAAATAAAACCCAAATTCCAGGGACCTATTTTAACATAATAAAGATCTATTTCTTACCGAGGCGAAGTCTGATGCAGTTGTCTTTGTCTGGGCAATTCTCCTCCATAGCTTCCTTCCAGGTGGTGAAGTCAGTGAGGATGGCTGGCCCCTTCCACCAGGTGGCCTTGTGTCTCACTCTTCTGCATCCAGCTGCCTGGAGAGAGTGTGGAGAATCTTGTAAAAACAATTTAGTAGCTAGGCCTGGGAGTGGCAAACATTTTCCGCTACATTTAGCGGCCGGAATGCGCCCCACTCAAATACAAGAGAACTAGAAACTGTGGTCTTGTTGTGTATCTAGGTGGGGAAAAAATGATTGGTAAGCACAAAGGAATAATTCTGCCTAATATTTTTACTAAAATCTTCTAGTACGTGTTCTGCAATTATACAGCCATTTTATAGTTATGTATCTTTTAAGAGATATATCTTTCAAAAATGTCTTATCCCATATCAAATCATATGTTTTTTAAAAACCCGTTCTCTGTTTCAAAGCAACATGGGTTTTAGTCTAATTGTGCTGAGAAGCCAGCTGTCATGGTTCTTGCATCATTTTGTGAACACTTGTAAAAGGAGAGTCATGCTGATTAAGAGAATATTTGTCAGAACACCCTGTTTTAGGGCTGCTCAGAGATTCCACTTTAATTCTACTTTTACCTACTCATTGCTGTCTAATAATAATTGATTCTGTTTTGCTACACTCTGAGGAGTTAGTTTCAGCCTGAAACCTGAATCACTTTCCATAAGAATTTGAGTAAGATCAGCACAAACATCTTGGAGTTGTTTTTAAGTTAAAGATTTAAAAGCAATATGATTTCTTAGTACATATGTAGCTCCAAATTACTGAATATCAACTTTTTTTAGAAGTTAAAAACAGTTAAAAAATTGTCTTAAAGCACAGCACTCAACGAAGAGGAAAACTTCCACTACTTCTAAACTGGAGAGTTTCTGCTGTTGAAGTCTGGCAGGTTAAGTTTGCATAGCTACTTTTCACTGTTCATGGCTGTTTTCAGCATTATTTACCACCTTGCAGGCCATCCGACATTCGTGTTGGAATGAAGTTTGGGGACATTGTAGCACAGCTCCCTCAATACATGGGAAAGGGAAGAGGACCTGCAAAGTTAGACTGAGCCATGCTTTGAATAAATATCTTCATAGTTGTAGGTGAGAACTGATCTAGACATTGCTGGAAATCCAGACACTAGAACCACATTACCAAAGGAGTGATATGAATAAAATAATGATGATGCAGTCATCTTAGAGGCATGCATTCTGCTTTACTCACATTGTGTATCTTGAAATGTTCTGATTTGCCATGCTCAGTTTCATTCATTTGCTTTAACATATGCCCTTTCTACTTTGTGAGAGCAACCATTGCTTATATTCTGAGTTTTACAGCAGGAATTGGCTTTTCCCCCACTCCCAGGCTAGAGTGCAGTGGTACAATCTCAGCTCACTGCAACCTCTGCCTCCAGGGTTCAAGCAATTCTCATGCCTCAGCCTCCCAAGTAGCTGGAATTACAGGTGTGCACCACCAAACCCAGCTAATATTCTGTATTTTTAATAGAGAACGGGTTTCGCCACATTGGCCAGGCTGGTCTTCAACTCCTGACCTCAAGTGATCCTCCCGCCTCGGCCTCACAAAGTGCTGGAATTACAGGCATGAGCCGCCTTACCCAGCCTGGTGACTCTTTTAAAAGTTTGTATTCAGCGGTAGACCGCCTTGAGCTCTTGCTGCTCTGTAGGTCCTCAAATACTCTGATGCCCTATGTTTCTCCTCCTCTTGTCCACCCTTCCCCATCCTAGAATAACAATGCATGCATAAGTTTGTTCCTACATTTTTTCAATTTTTATTATATCATAAATTTCACCCCAAGACATGTTAGAAGGTGGTATAATATTAATTAAGAGCTGAAGATTATGAATTATAATGTCTCACTTTGGAATTCTGACTCAAATACTTATTGATTGATTAGTTATTAGGCTAGCTTGAAAACATCCTAGAGTTCAGTTCCTTAATGTAAAGCAGAACAATAACAGCTAGCTCTTACATTTACATAGAGCATTTAATGAGATCATCCATCTAAAGCAAGGTCAACAGATTTAGCAAATAAAACTACAGGATGTTCAGTTAAATTTCAATTTTAGATAAACAACATTTGTTTTTGTTGTTGAAATAGTGCATTAATTTCCTACATTTGCCATAACAAATTAACACAAACAGAGTGGCTTAAAACAACAGACATCTACTGTCCCATAGTTCAGGATTTTACAGGTCCAGAATGAAGATGTCAGAAGGGTTGGTTCCTTTTGAGCCTGTGACGGATAATCCATTTCAGGCCTCCCTCTTGATTTCGAGTGGCTGCTGGGAGTCCTCGGTGTCCCTTGGCATGCAGATGCTTCACTCCGAATTGCCTCGATGTTCACATCGTGTGTGTGTGTGTGTGTCTGTGTGTGTGTGTATCTGTGTGTCTGTGTGTGTGTCTGTGTGTGTGTGTCTGTGTCTGTGTGTCTGTGTGTGTGTGTCTGTGTGCATGGGTTTGTGTGTCTGTGTGTGTCTGTGTCTGTGTCTGTGTGTGTGTGTGTGTGTGTCTGTGTGTGTGTGTCTGTGTCTGTGTGTCTGTGTGTGTGTGTCTGTGTGCATGGGTTTGTGTGTCTGTGTGTGTCTGTGTCTGTGTGTCTGTGTGTGTGTGTGTGTCTGTGTCTGTCTGTGTGTGTGTGTGTGTCTGTGTGTGTGTGTGTGTGTGTGTCTGTGTCTGTCTGTGTGTGTCTGTGTGTGTGTGTCTGTGTCTGTGTGTGTGTGTCAGTGTGTGTGTGTCTGCGTGTGTGTCTGTCTGTGTGTGTGTGTGTGTCTGTGTGTCTGTGTCTGTGTGTGTGTGTGTCAGTGTGTGTGTGTCTGCGTGTGTGTCTGTGTGTGGGTCTGTGTGTCTGTGTGTATGTGTGTGTATTCTTTCCCGTTTTTATAAGGACACTCGCCATTACATTTAGGGCCCTTTCTATTTCCAACATGACTCATCTCCAGAACCTTAATTACATCTGCGAAACCTTTTCCTGTGAAAATAGGTCATTTTCACAGCTTCCAGGTGCTTACACCATGAACATATCTTTCTTCAAGGCCATTACTCAAGTCACTATATATATATGTATCAAATATTGCATAGGATATCTGAAAGCTAAAACTTCTTTGCTGCTTATCTGGAATTCAAGAATTTGAATTCCTGGCTTTTATTTGTTAAACTAAATATAATGTTCTGAACTCAATACCTAAAACTTAGTAACAGCTAAAATGAATGAATAACTGTAGATGTTTATTAAAAATATAATTTGTTTTAATAGAAATACAGTATTCATAACTACTAACTAAAATTAATATATTCCATGTCACACTTATTTGCAATTTTCATGTTTTAGGAAACAGATTAAACTTAACTTTTGGGTCAGTCATCGTTAATGTAGTAAACATGTTGCATTGCAATGAACTACCCTGCTTTAATATGAAGAGAAAGTCTTTGCCTTTCAGTAACTTATAATTTAGTGAGAAAATATGCAAATGTCTACATTTAAAATACAATTCTGTTTAAGAAATCTACTATTCACCCCCATCTCAATATAAGAAATAATTGAAACTCATAGAATGATTAATGCAGGGAGACGTGAACAAAAAGTCGGGAATAAGGTAACAATTATGTCCCTTCATAGGTAATTCCTAAACTGCCAATACTGTTATTGAAAAGGAAATAAAGAAAGAGCATGAGAGAGAAATAGAGAGGAATAGAAAGAGAATAAAGGAAAGATCTTAGTTCTCAAGATATTTTTCATAAACTTTAAACCTGTTTCTGTATTCTTTTAGTTTTTCTCTGTGGAAAAGTCTGGAAGGTAACCTGGACATATAATCTGCAAGACGAAGCTCTTGTTTAATCACTCATCCCACAGTTGCTGGACTGTTTCTCATGAAGAACCTTAATTTTTATATTAGCATCTCTACAATGAACTAAAACTTGTAAGATTCCTCTTTGTATCTTATTGAAATAATATGTAATTTATTATGTTTTTCTTTAATGACAAAATGGTGATGCCTTTCCTGGTTTTTTTCCTCTGCCGCCTCTTTATAGACTCATTATTCAGATGTCAAAGTGTCACCCATGTTCTCTTGTACAACTGCAGATTTAATTTAAAATATCTCTGTATGGATGTACATGTTTTATGTCAAAACATTAAAAAGAACCAGCTGCCAGTGAGAGCAGCAGTTTTATATTTATATTTAAGTCTTTACTCCATTTTTAGTTAATTTTTGTGTATGGTGAGAGATAAGGGTCTAGTCTTATTCTTCTGCATGTGAATATTCAATTTTCTCATTACCATTTATTGAAAACGCTTTCCTTTTCTCATTATTTTTACTTGATACCTTTGTCAAAAATCAGTTAGCCCTAGATGTGTGGGTTTACTTCTGTGCCCTCTATTCTGCTCCATTGGTCTGTGTGTTCTTTTTATTCCAATACCATGCTCTTTTCATTACTATACCTTTGTAGTATGAGGCCAACAGTTTTGTTCTTCTTGCTCAAGATTGCTATGGCTATCCTAGGTCTTCCAGGGTTCCATACAGATTTCACACTATATATACTTTTTCTATTTTTTTAAAGAATGTCGTTGGGATTTTGATAGAAATTGCATTGAAGTAGTAGGTCACTCTGGGTAGTATGCACATTTTAGCAATATTAATTATTCCATGTATGGTATGTCTCTGTGTATGTGTGTGTGTGTGTTTCTTCAATTTCTTTCATCAGTGTTTTACAGTTTTCATCTTAAAGATCTCTCACCTCCTTGGCTAAATTTCTTCCTGCTCCTGTAAAACTGTAAAATGGATTGCTTTCCTGTTTTCTTTTCCACACAATTCTCTAGTGGCATAATGAAACTACTGATTTTGTATGTTAATTTTGTATCCTGCCACTTTACTGAGTTTTTTAATTAGTTGTAATAGTTTTCATGGAGTCCTTGCAGTTCTCCATAAATAAGACTGTTTAATCTCCACACAGGGTTAATTTGATTTCTTCCTTTATAATTTGGATGCCCTTTATTTCTTCCTTTTGCCTGATGTTTCTGGCTAGGACTTCCAGCAGTATGTTGAATAAAAGTGGGGAAAGTGGACATCATTA